CCAAGTTCCTGAGCTCCGAAGAGTGCACCGAACTCATCGTAGACCGCCATGGCGAGAGCATCGAAAGGGTTGAGGACTTCCAGTACCTGGGGAGCAACCTAGCAGCTGATGGCAGCGTGGACCAGGCGGTGAAGGCCCGAATCAACGCAGCCTGGATGAAATGGAGGGAGTCCACTGGCATCCTGTGCGACCGGCGGTGCTCGAGAACGCTCAAGGGCAAGGTGTACCGGGCGGTGGTAAGGCCTATGCTCTACGGCAGTGAGTGCTGGCCCATCTGCAAGAACCATGAAAGGCAGCTCCACTCAGCTGAAATGAGGATGCTGAGATGGGCCTGCGGCTGGACACGACTCGACAGAGTCAGAAACGAGGACGTCAGAGCGGTCACACAGACGGCTCCGATCCAGCTGAAGGCACGAGAGCGACTGCGATGGTATGGGCACGTACTGAGGAGGCCTGAAGACCACCCAATAAGGAAGGCATTCGAATCCGAAATAGATTACAAGCGTTCACAGGGCCCCAAAGATAAAATGGAGGGACGTTATCAAGAACGCTTACTGAAGTGGAAGCCACAGCAGAAGATGCAGTGGATCGTAATAAGTGGCGACGTCTGTGAATGCTTGCAGTGGATCGTAATAAGTGGCGAACAAGAACAGCGGCCCTGCGACGGTGCGGGACTAACGCTAGAGAGAAGGAAGGAGAAGGAATACCAAAATTTTTGACCTGATTTCTTTCGAAGGAGCAGATATTCTTGGGTCGATATACGGTAGGGCAAGTGAAGAGTGGGATGAGCCCCTCCATCCATGGCGCTCGCCTGTGGCATGACCTCAGATGAATTGCCCAGGTAGCTAACCTGCTGACATCTCTCCAACAGCGTCTTGAACAGATAAAGTGAATGCGATTGATTTTGAATATAGGCCCACTTTATGACATGTGAAGTTTAGATATAGTACGAACTTGTGAATGATACAGCTTGAAAATAACCTTGTTAAAGAATCCACGGAAGAGCTGTTTTTAGTTGTCTTCCGTAAAGTTTGATAGTAGGTGTGCACAAACCTTGTATCTGTACCTTTACCTTGTACCTCGTCTACAGCCAAACTAATTTATAGGACATACCTTTCACACTTCTACACGAAACATGACTAGTGGACGAAAACGGCATTCAGCCCAGCTCGTCCATGTTGGTAATCACCAGAGCATGATCCAGGCGTACTGGAAAGGGCCTTATCAGGACTCTTTCACACAAAAACTTTTCACAGACTAGCTTCCGACTGATTCCTCACAGCTGACTACTGCACTTCCTCCTCCATCAGTGTACATGGATGGTCTCTGCTTGGCTTCAGCAAAAATGAACGGTTCTCTCACCAACTCTATGCAAGCGCTCACACCTCATATTTCATGACTTCTATCTCACTTCAGAGCACTTCCTCCCCTATGTTTTTTGGCTGCGACCTTGTCAGAGATGCGTACGGCACCATGCATGTGGCTGCAACAAATGCTCCAGCTACTCCACCTCTTTTACCATCAACCTGCTTCTTCTACTTCCTCCATAACCAACACAGCCCTCTTCTTGTTCTCTACTTCCTCCATCCGCCTCACAAGTTCACTCCAACAATCGCCACTGCCTCTCCAGCTCCTCCAAATCTCTAACCTCACTCTACAACCCGCTTCTTGTTCTCTAGCTCCTCCTCTGCTTTCACCATTTGTTCCTCTATCAGTTCCTTCGCCATCCTTAGCTGAACGTTCTTGGCTTTCACATCCTGCGTCTAGTCTCCCTGTGCGCTACACCTGCTTATTCGAATACCACCGAGACATCATACAGCTTGAGAAGATACATCGGTGAAGAACGGCCAGGGATCGCGTTGTGGTAATTTTCAGATAAAAATACGGCAACGCTGAAAAGGGTCCCGATGCGACCCCTCCTGTCCGTTGTTGATCTGGTGACCAGATTAACGGCGGAGAAACTAGCACCGAAAAAATGGGAGGTTTGCGATAATAAATGATAAAAAAAAGACGCGAAGTACATCATTTACAAATGTGAGGAACACGAAGAAATGTGCCACAATAAACCATAAATTGAAAACAAAAATAATTAGCTATAAATGAAGCATAATAAGTCACAAAAAAGAAGGAAAATAAAATGCAAGTGGCACAATTTGGATATCTATTGTTCGCGGCCATCCAAAGTTGCAGTTAGAGTTAGAGCAGACTTTGTGCCGTGGCATTGGAGCGAGCTATTTTACGGTTCGAATCCAGTCCCAAGCCAAGCACCGGAAAGTGCCCTTATTTTGAACACCCATAACTCTTTGAGAGTAGAACTTCTAATGAGGAGAAAGCAGGGGTAGAGCACTAGGTTGGCACTTGTTCACCGAGTCAAACGATTATAAAGAATTTCCTTCCCAAAGGAAATTCCCCCGTTGTAACCGCGTCGTTACATTTGAGGGTCACCTACGAGCTCTTACGCTTTGAACAGCTATAACAATCTTCATACAAGGCCATTCGTGAAAAGAAAACTGTGCCGGAATTTCGAAGATTTCTACTTTCTTACAAGACTTTCGTTTTATTCCTAGGCCTGTTATTCGACAAAACCCCGTTGTGATGTGGTTGCGACCCCTTTCGGACAACGGAAAACCCACCCTGAAAACACTATACCATTTCTAGTTGGTTTAAGGGAGTTTGGTATGCTTTCAAAACACATATTTTCACAGCGGGTATCAGGAAACGGTCCATTTGGCGCTGATTGGCATCACCTCTGTAATGCGCCATGCATAGGGCTCCCACGCAGAGATGTTGGAAAGGTGCAACTTCTAGAAAGGGCTTCCTCCGTGCAAGTAGATGTGCTTCTGCGATCAGAAAGGTCCGGAAGTGTACTTTCATCTGTTTATCAATTCATGACGTCGTTGTGAGCAGCCATCGTAGTCCCGTCCGTTCCCCCTTGTCCTGCGCTGGCAGGCTGCTTCAGCCTTTAGGAGTCTCTTCAGGTGTTCTTCACATGAATAAGTCTTTCATCATTGAAGCTGTACGACATCTGAGTATTGCTGCACTCCCACTTCGAAAAGGCCCTGCGCTTACGACTCCTCTCCCTCGCGGTCAAACCCCTGTTGTGATTGTCACAAGGATAGCGTGCCCTACAGGTAAGTAAAATATGGAACTGTGGTATTCTTGTTCATAAAACTCCAGGAACACCAGTCGCAGGCGAGCAAAAACTGGGAGAATTATGGTTGCGTTGATCACCTGAAAGAAAACAGAAGACCTTGAGAGCGGGTCTGGAGGATATATCAGCGTAGAGAAATCAAAAAAGCATGTTTAGGTGAGTTCACTGCCTAAAGACATGTCCCACGATCAAGTAATCAGCGAAATGTCCCCCATGTATTTGGTATCGTTGTCCGCACTCGCAGAGAATATACCACTTTCGTCACTCGAAATGGCGAGGTAACGAAGCTAGAGACGCGTGAGTTTTGCAACCGGTGCAACCGCGTACTGTAACTCTGCAAGACAACGACTTACAGGCGGAATGGCGCGCGTACGTTGCCTGGAGCGTCATATGGTGAATTCCTATGCCCTTGCCGAGATTGGTTGCACCTAGAATCCTGCCAGTCGGGCTTAATCTTATGATGAACATTTCCATGCGCCGGCCCTACTGCTAGGGAGATCTGTGCTCAGGGTGTTTTCTAGCTTTTTTCGCTTATTTTCCCACGGATGAGTTTTCGATGGGCTACTGGTTTATGACTGAGCACCTGCTACCTGTTACAACTATCGCAGGGCCTGTCCTTGAGTGAATGAGTTTTTGAGCGACCTGGGCGGAATGGATCGTGAATGCATTCTAGCCATGTACGCTGAAGAATTAGGGAACAGGCATGTGTATAAGGTAAAAAATAATAGCGAACAAACACCGTGAACACTCATACGCAGATTCACCCTCAGGAGCTGCAAAACCTAAGGTGTGATCCTTCTTGTACAGAGAAGAAGCTTAGTAGAAGAAGACTGCATCTCGAGATGCTCGCTGCTCCTTTTGAGGCTGAACATGGTACGACTTTTGGGAACTGCTTTATTACTCTTACTTCTCTTTCTCTAAATATTGTTGGCACGTTGAAGAGGAATTGGAGGATGCTATCAGAGCTCGCCGCTCGGAATATCAGTCTAGAGGTCATGCCGTTTCAAAGTACAAGATCAATCAATCTTTTTTTCATCATCATTCTTCCTCTAATGTGGCCAACTTTGGAAGCGTGGGCGTATGGACTAACAGAACCGCTACAACAAACACGTGTCTTCAGACTTCCGCACTCTGCGCGATGGATTCATGTTCCTACACTATCACACGTCAGGGTTCTACACCAACTATTCCAAGACCATTTAGATAATCCACTATACAATATAATACATTACCAATTAATATTAACAGATACAGAAAACTTGTGAAGCTGGGCTATACAGTATCGTAGCAGATTTTATGCACTCGTTGCATTCTAAGTCACTAGGTTACCATACCCAGAATTATTGCGTGGCATGGCGTGGGTCAGATGGATGTCGAGGTCCTACCCCTTCATGCGTCACCCCAGAAGAAAACTGAAGCAATCCACTCGAAAATTTTCAATAGGGTGAAGGCCAACGTGAGGCACCCCTGTGCATAGTTCTCAATTTTAAAAAGCACCTATAACAGCTGCTCGTAAAAACTTCCCGCAGAAGACTGTGCGTTCCACCTGGCTGGAGCGTGGAATCGCACAAGGGATGTGTTCGCTTTAGAGAGGTAGGTGCAAGAATGTGAAAGAGATGAAGTAGTTTTTTGAATGATGCAGCACAATGGAAGGGGAAAAACTTTGTATTTTATACAACATAATACTTTTTGGAAGACGTTCCGTTCGATATATTCTGAAGGAAAGTTACCTAGGTGTTGTGTTTTTGTCCCATTCATTGCTGCCGCAAGTGAGGGCTCTTCGAAGACAACCGATTCCGAAAAGGTGCAGACTATCTTACCTAGTTCCGTATGAGCTACCTCCGAGGTCTCTTAAGGAGATGTAGTGTAAATGGAGTGTGTACAAGCTGCGCACCCAAAATTTGGCTGGAGCCTCTCATAGGTATTAGATTGGACATACAAATTTGAAGAACCTATTGTAGAGATCTCTTTTCAGGAGAGTCGGGATCCTCGTAGCCGTAGACCATCGCCCGTTGACTTTACTCATCGATGCTTTCCCAAAACTCAATTATGGAGTGCGCGCAACTCTCAGACGCCTTCAAGAGGTTGGAACTATACTAGTCATTTTTTCAGATTTCTTCTCAAATTTAATACAAACCGACCCAGGCCAAATTGCTGCAAAAGCATGATCGGCGCCTGCTATCACAACTGTGATCAAATATAGCTTAGAATGAGTCATGCTTCTTAGTTTCATGTATATCCTTTCGCTTATAGGATGTAACTGTTTTCCCATGCTTTACAGTTGCTTGAATTCCTTTCCTCCTTATCTGATTGAAATGGTAGATTTTCTCAGGAAACAACGCATAATGTATACATTCTTTCGTAGGAAAACATACTTAGTCCGCATAAAAGAGGAAGCGCCGACGCTCGATTCGCTTGGGTGCATTGTAGGATCAGGTGCATTTTTTCCTTGTCTCTTACATTTATTTTTGCTCTTTGCTTAGTAGTTTCATAGAAATGCTCTTGAGATTTCCTCATCGTTTCTAGAATTCGTAGTGTATGTTCGTTTAATGGTTATGCCTCTTTTATGTTTAATTACCCAAGTTTGAGGTTCGAATAAATCTCAACGATCAACCGCGTGGCAAAGCTGGCAATATTACACCTGCAACTTATTGAGGTCACCCCACAGGCAATCGGTAAAAAATGCGAGGTATCTTTGATCCCATCCCACGGTTTTTGTACCGTATACCGACCCAACGGCATCAGCATACTCTCTCCTTATCCATGCTCTTCTCTATAATATATTGTTGCAAACTATAGGGCGTGTGAAAGGGCGCGTATTGGCCTAGAAGCAAATGTTCATACTTCCTGCCTTCCGACTCTCACTTTACTAAAGAGTACTATAGCGACCAAGTTAAAGAAGAGACGAATATGTGTAAAGATTTTGGAAACAGCATGTGTGAGAAGAAAGCCTGAGAACAACTAGAGAACTACATTCAAACAAAAAACAAGAGCTATGACTATTTTCAAATAATTTTTATGCATTGGCGCAACCTTTTGGGAAGAATTAGAGTCCCAAGTTGCTTGCTCTTTCACTGTTCCTATCTGGAATTGCATGAAGTCGGTGGAAAGTCCCTCAAATCTCTGCGAAAAACTCCTATAGTATGTTGATAAACTTTGGATTGCGTCTCATCTCCATTCTCCAGAGAATCCTTTCATAGGTTTCAGGAAAGTTCAAAAAAAACTTATCTGCTTGTGACCAATGACGCCTTCTTTTGATTGCCAAACATCTTGCCCAGATGGTCTGAAACCTCCACAGGTTAAATTTTCATATGTCTGCATATTTGGTTGTTTGCTGCTTTGTCTATTTATTCATGAGGCTTTCAACGTCAACAAAATTGTTTTTATGGATGCATCACTATTTTATCGGGTTGCCCCACAATTTTTGTCCGATTTTGGGCATTTCCTATTTTGCAATCTAATTTTCATGACTTCCAGTAAACACTCGATAAGCGGTACAATCAATACTAGGATCAGAAGCAGGCCGCAATTTGAGAGACAGACAGTGACTGGATCGCTCTTTCGCAGAATGGTAAAGTTGGCGACCGAAGAGTTTGAAGAGGTGTTCCTGATGATGATGCAATCATTTTGTTTTTCTCTGATAAGGTGCTAGTCGGAACGAAGAGCAGAGAGTGGGTTCCTGAAGGATTACCAGAGCATACGGTGAATGCGCCATTGATTCAGCAAGTTTCTTCTTGAATGTAGCGAATTGTTTTTGTAATGCTCTGTCGAGCGCTATCCTTTGAATGGAGGCGTTGAACGGTCTAGTTCGCTTTTTCTGCACTGCTGCCACGAACCTTCTTGTTTGTTTCGCGCATGCTGGAGCATTGCCCGCCTTTTTGTACAACAGCTTTTCCTAAAACGGTGTGGTTTCCTAAAAACTTTGGAGAACTGAGGCATAATTCTTCGAGTATGAACAGCGGGCATTTGTGCGGGGCGGGTGGCGGGTATTACAGGGAAACCCCAACAGAATGATCCGAACTTTCCCAGTGAGGTATGCACCTATGTACGCAATCTAAAACTCTTTAAAGGAATCTGCCTCCGAAGTTGGCGGAACTACACTCTAAACTGTATTACGAAATTTTTCTCCTGCACCTTCCCTATCATACACCAGGCGCCGTTATGCAAGTGTACAACATACCCCAAAGACTGGAGTTCTAGGAATTTCAGGGGCAAAGAACTATGCCAAATCCCTGAAATCGGAAAAACACTTGAAAAACGAAAAATTCAAAAACCTGGCTTCCGAATTGGGTTACGTGCAGTGTGCAGCTTTTGGTGCATGTCGAGCTTTTGCACCACAGAAATTGCATCATTCGTGATTTTTACGCGTTTTACCTTACGAGATGGGTTGCAGTTGACTGTATGTGCTCCCAATGAATAAATGTAATGAAGTGATGAAGGAGA